GAGCGTCATCAAGACACATCAGTACTAATCTAACCATCTTCGTTAACCATTGTCTTCTCAGCCTAATCATCGCCTATTTTTCAAGGGCGGCTATTCCCGAGGCCACGATCGGTGAATATTGAAGGGAATGCAGTGCAAGTTTTTTGACATGCATGGTCTGGTTATATTTTTCTTTTCTTCTTCTTTCGGACTGCCTCGTGCTTTACCCTGATCCTGTGGAGAAGGGAAGAATGGAGGGGGAATTACGGATTGACGGGATTCGATTGTCTACAGTTTGTATGACTCTTGTTCTTTCGTAGCCGAATTGTCCAGTGCAAGTCGTGCTTCTGGTCAGGAGATATTGCCGTAAGATCCAGACCTTGAACAATACAATACAATTGTACTTCTCCCTTTCGACTCCTCGAACGATCTAGGGTTATAGCGCCGAGGACTTGTAGGGCAACTGTTTGTTTTTGCTTTATTCATAGTTTTTTCAAGATTGATTTTATCGGTTTCGCATTGAACAGTCTGTCAATAATTGCTTGTGAACAGCGTGGAGGTCCATTGATGCCTTCTCTTAATCTGGGTACTCCTAACTTATAGTAAAAAGGAACAAGGAGCGTGCACATGGACTAAGCGCAACGCTTGAGCTACGCGTTTTGACATTCAATATGTTCCTTTTTTAACGGAGCAAAATGAAAAACATCCGGTTCATCCTCTGTCTTTGACTTATTCCCCTCTTTTCATTGCTAAGAACTTTATGCCAACAGGCGAATAGCAATCTACTGGAAGGAGGAACTAGGCAGGAAAGCGGGATCAGTGCAACGATTGGTCATCATGCTCATTCTATATTTAGAAGTTCACTTTTGGTGGCTCAAAAGCGTGGGAAAGGAAATTGCTTCCTCATACTTCGTACCTAGTACTTACCGTTGATTTTTACACTGTGGTATGTTGAACAGTGATAAGTATATTGAATACTTTATGTGTTGTATAAACTGCTAGAAATATTTATTTGGGGAGTAATTGCTGGATTCTACTTTAGTTTGTAAGTTAAAGTTTGTCCTTATTTCATCTCCCTTCCAAGTCATCAAAACAAATTATCAGGGGCTTAGTAGTAATACAATATAAAAGTGAGCAGAATGTCACCCCTCCCCATTCTCTCTACCTCTCTCTCTCTCCATCTCTTCCCTCATTACACTCTGTCTCAGTGTTTCCTTATTATTCTGTAGAGTTGTATATTGTGAGACAGTGTAATAAGGGAAGAGATGGAGGACTGGGAGCCCTTGACCTTCTTCTATTAGTAGGAATGAAAGAATCCAAAATATCTTTATTAGATTTGTCCTCACCCTTACCCTTATCCTCTCATTATTATAGTTCTTGTTAGATATACTCACTTTACTAGTCCTAATCCTTAAGAATAGTAACAGAATAGAGTATAAAGGGTAAGACTTGTAGACTTATAGAGTGAGAGGGTAGAGGAGTCCTACTTTAGTCAAGCTACAAGTGTAGCCTAGTAGGTTGGTAGTAGAGTACTTCCAAGTACTAAATAACTTAAGTTGATAAAACTATCTTTTGAGAGCCAAACTGGCCTCCTTATATACCTTTTACTAGAGTAATGTTACTCTAGTAATTTAGTAACTCTCTTTACTGTTGTTCCTATGAAGTAGAGCTGGCTAATCCTTTAGACTGTATGCTATACTAGTTTGTCTCTTCTATTAATCTGCTAACACTAATTTGTGTCTTCTTATATTCTAGATTAATCTTCTAATGACTCCTTTACTATATTATTATGTCTTCTATACTTCCTCTCATACATCTTATGACTCCTTATGAGTCCTTCTGACTAGTTATACTGTGTAAGCTGTGTAATACTTTTCCTATAAAGTAGAGCTCTCTATTATTCTGTAGTCTTCTTATAACTCTGTCTAACTTAACTTGTACTTTCTGTACACTAGTTTGTAATACACTTTCTTATAAGGTAGAGTATTATGACTTCTAATGACTCCTTATGACTTCTGTAATATAAAAGGCTGTACTTCTGTACTACTCCTAGAACTTACAACCAAAGTTCTAGACTGTCTTGTGTACACTCTAGAACTGACAACTAATGTTCTAGATCTTTCCCT